TTCACAAATCAACCTCATAGCAGGTTTGGTTAATATAGTTTTTTTTAAATAAAGCAGTTAAATCATTAACAAAGTGAGTAACTTGGTTGGTGTCGTGCTCTTTATCAACTGAGAACTTTTTTCCAATAAGTAACTAACTTGCAAAATTCGATAGAATTCATACAAAACTCTATAAAATATAGACCAACAATTCGGAAGAATTCATACAGTAAAATATAGTTACTTTCCAACAATTTATATTAGCAGTCCGGCAGAATTCATACAGAACTCTTCAAAATATTGCCTCCTTCCAATATTTACGCAAATTTCTACGACCGACCGACGAACGAGATCCCAACAATTTGGTACAATTCATACAATACTGTTGGTCCATATTTCATTGAATTTTGTATGAATTCTATCGAAATTTTGAAATTCCAAAAAGCAAGTTAGTTACTTAGTGGATAAAACGTTATATATATATATATATATATTTGTGTGTGTGTGGTGTGTGATTTTTGTATGTATTTATGTTAATATACACACACGCACACATAAACAAACCATCATCATAAAGAAAGTGATGTTATTCACTACAACACTTTTTATAACTTATTATATTAAAAGATATTTTTAGAACAATGCTATAACATATATTGTGTATTTTAGAACACACATACATTCCTACACACATACAAACGCACATTTCTACACACACACACACCCATACACACACACACACACACATAAAACACACGCATACAAACTCGTATATATCTAAGTTATATATATATATGTATATATATATATATATATATATATATATATATACATGTGTGTGTGTATTTAAATAACTTATATATATGGCATACAAGACGATAGGGATACATGAAATATTAAAGATGTTAATATAAATGTAAGGTTATCGAGTATGAATTTTTTTCATTTAGTGAGCAGTACCTCTACAACAACACAACTTAGTCGTTGTTATAAACTTGTTGTTATAGAGTATCGTTGTTACTGATTACTACTACTATTACACAACAGCCACAACAACAGCATCGTCGGCTTCTACTACTGCTACTACTACTACTACTACAACAACCGTTACTGTTACTACTTTTAGTTGTATAATTGTATCCATTTGTAAATTTTAGTATTGTTGTGAATAAATTAAAAATATTTGTAAATACTTTTGAAATTTTATAAATTGTAAAAACACGAAAGTCGAAAATTGCAGTAAGTATATATTACTAATACTATAGTAAATGTCTGTATCGATACTATATAATATAAAGAAAACACACAATTCATTTTGGAAAGAATTTATATTTTTACATTAACAATTTTAATCGGTGTCAATAAATAACGATTACTTATAAAATAATATCGAAAATAACAAATATTAATTATTAATAATGAATAAATAAACATCAAACTTAATTACTGTTAAGCCTTACCTATTATTAAATCATCTTCAACGGTGCTCAACTTACAATTATATATTTGCTAAACGATCACCAATTCATAATAAATAACTAATTTTTAATTTGAAATTTCTCGTTTCGATCTAGTTTTTAAAGCACTATTCCTAAATAAGGTACTAGAACGTATGTATGTAGGTATATATAACAGAGTATAAATAATCATATATATATATATATATATATATATATATATATATATATATATATATATATATTAATAAATAAATTTATTATACTGTAAAAAATTATTACGTATGCAACTGCCTTTTAGTGTAGGCTATTCGATTTCTTATATTTATAAGGCATATTTATCCAATAGCAAAAAAAAATTTTGAAATTTATTAAAATAACTGATGTTAAAAATGTTTGGAGTGAAAAAATACCGAAGCATAAAAATACTGGCTGTATTACTTAAAAATAACTACTTACACAAGCATTGCATCTATTAACAGCCATAGTAGTTGCTATCACTAATTTAATGAGTACCTGCTGTCTTTACGTGGCCAGTATTTCTAAGTATAATTACTTTCACTATCATGTAACATCGTCGCCTGTGCTGTTACTTATTTAATTAATTGAAATTTTTTAATTTATTGATTAATTAATTAATTGATTGATTAATTTTTTTTCCATTAGAATATCAAATCAAATATATCGGATGCACAAACTTAAACACATAACACACAGTAGTAGTACACAGAGCTTTTTATAACAAAGATGGACTCTGTTGAGTTTAAGACGGACTCAGATTGTTGAATGTATTTTGCAATTTATAAGTTAATTTGGAATTCTTATTGCAATTGATTTTTAGCTTTGTGCTGTAAATATGGGTTGCTTATTCACACTTTGATAGTTTTAAATGACTTGGGTAACGAAACAGATAATTTTTGTTGTTGCCTCCCCAAGCACTCTTAGGATGAAAAAATTACAATTTTGTTAATATTGTAAAACCATTTCATAGTTAAATCGTTAAATAACTGTTAATCAAATTATTTTTTTCAGATGACGAAAGAACATCATCGCGACATAACGGAAGATGATGACGGTGACGTCATCAATGATTAACCGGCCCAACTGAACAAGATAGTTTCGTACTCAACATTTATATAAAGATCGCAAATCAGTACATGTTACCTACTAAGCACTTATACACGCTGCAGTCTACAGTTCTTTAATAAATCTTTCTTGTCATCATCCTCCTCCAGATAAATTACATTTTATCGACGGCATTCAAACAGCATCATATCTTTTTCATAACGCCGTCACTCACTGCGGTTATCAATTCATAATATAAATAAAACTTTCAATTTGAATGTTGTTTGCCTGCAAACAAATTTCCCCAACAAGGTTTTCTAAATAAAATTTCGTCATCATTTCATTTAACGTTCACATATTGCCAATGAAAAATTGAAAAGAACAATTTTATAAAGTAGAGACTACTGGCAAAAATTGTACCAAATTTAAAGCACGAACTTCAAATCATTTACAAAAATTTCAAAGACAAAAGTAGCAGCAACACCAATAAGACAACATCAAAGACAACAACAGCAACAGCAACAACGTCATTGTTAAAAAGTAAAATAAAACACATAGGTGATCGAAAATTCTCATTTTTTCAAAAACAGATATATTTTGATTAGTTAAAAGATTCCTTATAATCATTAGTTGTAAGAATCTCGGATTGACTAACATAACAACGGAATTGAACTAAACAACTGGAAAAACTGAAGGAATTGAACTAAACAACAAATACTGACATAACAACATTACCACAGCCACAAGACAACAGCAACCACAGACCGCAGCAGTAGCAGCAGCAACAGCAACCTAACTACAACCACAGACAGCAGACGACACAAATCAACAATCAAAATCACGTAGACACCGTACCACACACCAAACCGGTTAGAAATTCTTTAACATATAACCGTTTAATGTTGATGTTTTTGTAATGTTTCTATTGTCATTGTAGACGTTGTCTCAGTTGATGTTGTTGTCTTTCTTAATGTCTTTGTTGTAGATTAGGTGATTAGGTAGTTGTTGTAGTTGGTGTATTTGTTGTTTTTATTGTCATTATTCATGTTGTCGTAGTTAATGTTCTTGTTGATAATTTTGTTGTTGATGTTGGTGTATCTGTTGTTTGTGTTGCTGAATAATGTTGTAAGCATCATTTGTTTTTCTAGCAAACAAATTTCAACAGATAAATTTTTAACTTTAAAATATTTTAGCATAGGCATTGTAATATATATGAATATAGAGAGAATTCATGTTAAAATGATCGTGATGTTATTAAAATAAAGATAAGTATGTTTATAAAGTTATCGGTATGCAGACTAGCATTGTTCATAAGATTGATTAGCTACAGTAAAATGAATTATTAGTGAATAATAATACAATAATGATATTAAGTGGAATCAATAAGGGTAATTGAACTAGAAGACAGTATGACTAAATGAATGGGATGAAGTCTTCAGTGTTAGTTAGTACGTTAGGTTTAGTTTAAACTGTCCTATCCAATTGAAATGCCAATATAATTAATTTTTGCATTATCTGTCGCGAGGTAGGTAAGTGTTTAATGAGAGTAATGACAATAACTACTACATTCTTATTGATTTTCAACAGACGATAACATCATGTAGAAGTTTTATAAAAAATTGGACGACAAATATAAGGACAACTGCAAATCATTAAAATATAAAACAACAAAAAATAATGACATCAACAACAGCACCTACAACAACGTCAACCAAAATAACAGTGACAACAGCAAAAACATCAACAATAGCAACAAAATTTTCATAAAATTTAAACACGCCGATAATTTCTGACAGTCATCTTTTGTGAGCTAGAGCCACACTCAAAAAATACAATCGTTGACGCCATTGAAAGTTTGTATACATACAATACAATAAGTTTGTATATATATATGCAATAAAACAAGATTGTGTATATAAAATACAAAATGTTTGTATGTATATATATCGTAGTAATTTGTACATAATACATTTATTTGTAGATATGTTCACAAACAATAGTTTGTATATATACATTACAGCATATACAAATATATACAAATTATACAATATATACAAAAAATATATAATTTTTTTTACAATTGAATTGAAAAAACTTATTTCGAAGACGCTGCCTCACGCGAACATTTTCCATCTAATAAAAATGTAGCATGTAACAAAATTTCCATACCACAACCAGACAAACAATTCATTGTAAAAAAAACTTCACACAAACAAGCGTTCAAATAATAGAATAAAAAACTAACCAACAAAAAATACTTGTATATACAAAAATATACCCCTAAATACAAAACAGACCTGTGTATAAACACACACACACACACACACATATATAATAACAAATAGATACAAAAACCGTTTTAAAAACGGTACTTATACAGGCATAAATAAAACATACAAACATAAATACGTACACATGAATATAAAAACATAAATATACATACGAACACACATACACATACATAAATATACAAGCAGCATAAACACGCAGGCTCTTGTAGAGACACAAACATATAAACATGCATACACATACATAGACAAACACATGCATATATAGACATACACATACAAACACACAGATACAAAGATATACACATACACATACGTATATACATGCACATACATAGACCTACACATACTACATGATTCACACATACATAGATAGATATACACACGCACACATTCGTGAGTTTCTCTCAAAACAAAAAAAGCGATCGTCGTTGTTCAATTGTTAAGGCGATAGAAATAATTTGTGCGGTTGTCGGTAAGTTTGTTTGTTTGTCGGTATGTTTATTTGTTTGTCGGTATGTTTGTTTGTCGATATGTTTGTTTGTCGGTATGTTGTTTGTCGTGTGTTTGTCGGTATGTTGTTTGTTGTATGTTGTATGCTGTTTGTTGAATGATGTTTGTTGAAAGTTGTTTCTTGTTATGTTTATATCTCAACACTGATCAAGTTTTGTTTGCTGTTTCTTCAGATTATTATTATTATTTTCAAAACGTTTTACTTAATTTTAATATGCTTTGAGATTTACTTTACTCGTTAGGTTTGAACGACGGTCATCTAACATTTCATTTATCAGGTCTTTGTTGTTTGTTTGCTTGATGTTGCAGTTGTTGTTGTCTTTGTTTTGAGTTGAGTTTTTCAAAATTTTTGTTGTTTCTTGAGAAAATTAGAAAATTTACTTATATAAGCAGTTGCTAGTGTTGATTTGAAGGATGACATCAACAAAGACAGCTTTGACGTTTTGAAGTTTACGTTGTAGTTAATTTTCATTCGCATTATGACATCATTAACACTCACTCACGCACACACACACTCACACAAAACACACATACACACACAAACACACACACGCACGCACGCGCGCAACACACACAAACATCAAAACATCAACGTCGTCGCTATAATCAGACACCAGTAACATATCAATATTAGCGAATAAGAAATAGTGATGATAACATCAACGACAACAAAAACAACAACAACATCATACAACAACGACAACAACAACAACGACTGCATCAGCAAAAACAATACGTTCTTATAAATGGCTGATACGCAGTTGCGGTTAATTACGAATCTTTAATTGTTTCGATATTTGTCGGCCGTTCGGTTCTTTCTTTATACTAAACTGCACGCACAAACACACACACATACAAACACACACACACACGTATAACTTCTTGAATAAGTAAAAAATTTAACGAACGAACGATTGAATGAACAAAAATAAAAGAAGTAATGCACGTAGGGATGAATAAATGAGAAATTGAAAGAAAAGGAGAAAAGAATGAGTGAGTGAATGAACAAATGAATAAATGAATAAATGCATAAACAAACGAACGAACAAAAAAATGAATGAATAAATGAATGAATGAGCGAATGATTGAACGAGTGAGTGTTTTTTGTGTCTTAATTAATGAAAATTTTTCTGATAATAAATATCAAGAGGCGGACGCTTTGCATTAATGGTAATCGTTGAATTTGTACTATCAATACTTAATGCTATTACATAAATAGTAGTAGTTGTCGTCGTCGTAGTACTATTAGAAGTAGTAGTAGTTGTAGAATTAGTTGTAGTAGTAGTAGTAGCAGTAGAGGTAGTATTAGTAGTAGTAGTAGTAGTAGTAGTAGTAGTAGTAGTAGTAGTAGTAGTTGCAGAAGTAGTTTTAGTAGTAGTATTAATTGTTGTTGTTGTAATACTATGTATAGTATTACAACTAATTAATAGTGGGTTTTTCTGTTTTAGCAGTCGTAGCTCCTGCATTTGTAGTAGTAGTAGCAGCAGAGGTAGTAGTAGTAGTAGTAGAGGTAGTAGTTGTAGTAGTAGTAAAGGCAGTAGTTATGGTGGAGGAAGTTGTAGTTGTGGTAGTTGTAATTGTTTGCTGGTAGTAATAATAGTAGTAATAGTTTTTTCAATTATTCGATTGGATTAAATTGAATAATGTTGAAAATAATTACCTCAATTTACATGAACAATTAACTCTGTATGAAAATTGAAAATTATCATTTTAGTTAATAATATTAATAATAATAACACAGATAGAGAAAAAGAGAAAAGAATAAAAAGAGAGATAAATGAAGAGAGAGAGAGAGAGAGAGAGTGAGAGAGAGAGATGTTTATTTATTACTTATTGTTTATTACATGTCTGTGTATGTATTAATAATAATATAAAATGCACCTTAATTGAATTTATTAATAGGCCTAACAACATCCTACATACAAACACAAACACACACACAAACACGCGCACACACACACACACACAAACACACACTCACAAGCAGACAGACGAATTTGCTTGTCTGTCTGTAGTATGAATGTAGTACTAGCATACGTACAAAGTAGTAGTAGAATGGGTAGTAGCAAAAGTAGTAATTAAGTTTGTAGTAGTGGTGGTAGTGGTAGTAGTAGTAGTAGTTGTTGTAGCAGCAGAAGTAGTAGTATTTTGGTACTGTTTTGAGTGTATATCTGCTGTAGTATGAGTAGATATATGAAATACTAGTGGTAGTGGTAATAGCAGTGTGTCTGTTTGCATGTAAGTGTATGTGCATGTGTTAGTGTGTGTATGTGTGCGTACGTGTGCGTGCGTACGTGTGTGTGTGTGCGTGTGTGTACTATTTGTGAACCCGACTAACGTACAGTCTAATAATTGTACGGCCTTGTACTCACATATATCATGTATGATTACAATTTTATTTACATTATACGCTATATATATATATATATATATATATTATATACTGTATATATATATACATATATATGTTGTATATTTATGTAAAGATAAATATAGTCGTAAGCTGTGGTAGTAGTAGTAGTAATCGTAGTTACGCTTGTAGGCCTTGGTACGATGTTGATTGTTTTTGTTTTGCTGTTTATGTTGCCGATTTGTACTTGTTATTATTGTTATTATGTTGTTGTTGATGTAATTATTATTATTGTTGTTGTTGTTATGATTAGTATTATTTTTATTGTTGTCGGCGTTGGGGCTTTGGATTTTGTTAACTGGTCTTCCTTGCATTCTTGTTGTTGTTGTTGTTGCTGCTGCTGTTGTTGTTAATGTTTGTTCGATGATCACAATGTGTGTTTCTCATTTCACGAAACGTTATAAACTAGCCGCTGCACACATACACAAACACATGCACACCAATAAACATACACACTCACACACAGACAACATACAGACACACACAAACATATGCACACACATAAACAAACACGCACACACACACAACACACGTACACATTGAATGCATGCACGGACGTAAACTAGCGTAATGATTCGCAAGCATCATATATCGTAATAAATTATTTGACGTAAATCCAAGTCGCACGTATATACACAGTTGAAATAATATGCATATGATGAATATGTACTGTGATACATATGCAAGGAAATACACACACATATATACGTGTTAACCTTATACCGTTACAATAACTATGAAAGTGGTTGATGATTTTCCTCGAGTGGTGCGAAAAGTTTTTACTTCAACTTTCATCACTTCCACAAAAACTTACAGACTGAACAAAATTTGCTGACAATCAAAACATTTTTTACTATTCTGTAACTTTATTTATTAGCCAGACTCAAATGCAGTTTTCGCATGAGTCTCGTCGTGTTTACGCATGTTGTACTAGCATATCTGAAGCGAGATTAATTTTGTGATTAACAGATAGACAGATTGATCACTGCTAAATACTCCTTCGATGCACCGCCCATATACAAATATATAAACTTTTCACAGATATTTAATTACATATACATACATATACATACATATGATATATATATATATCTATATATATATATATATATGTGTGTGTGTGTGTGTATGTGTGAGTGAAGGCTATGTATATATGTATGACATATTCATATATACAGTATATATAATATGACTAAACAAAGTATGTTATAGAGGGATATCTTCTCCATGGCCTGTTGTATATTGAGTAGGTACTTGTAACTGAACAATTAGAAAACAATCATGGTCGTCAATGCACGCAGGTACGTACGCACGTTTGTACGCATATATGTGTACTTATTATTCTTCGTGTGCGTGTACGTGTACTTGTTTATGTTTGTACGCGAGTGTATGTGCGTGTTGATGTTTGCGTGCGTGGTGCGTGCATTTCGTATTAATTTGTTTTATCAAATAGAAAAAAGTTTGCAATGTCTGCATGTGTAAACTTTACATATTCCTGATCATTTGTTTGATGACATTTTTCTTTCATCTGTTTTTTCATAAAAATTCAATTAACTTTTATATTGAATTTGAATGAAAGTTGCCTTTGTGAGCAGCAGAAAATGTTTTAATAAAGATGCAAGCACACACAACTTAACGAAAGCGCATAGACGCGCTTTTATATAATGCGTTCGAGCAAAAATGTCCTAAAAAGTCAAACAAATACGAAGGTGCAATCTCAAACTTTCTTTCTATCTTGGCTGTGTACCGCTGTATAAACACGCACACAAAACACAAAATCACACACTTGCATGGTACATGCTATCACGCTCAAACATCAAGTTGTTTGAGTAAAGTGCAAATACGTAAAAGATGGTTTTTTTATTTTCTACATACCCAAAAAACACAATCGCACAAGCGAATTTAGCCTTACATCATTTCCTAAAGGATGACTTGAGTGTGTGAGTTTTTTTGTGGTAATTAAAAGTTTTTCAGTCAATCATAAACATACAAAAACGAACACACAACACACACACACACACACACACACACATACACACACACACATGCAAACATATTGTAACAAACAAAAAAAAATTTAAACATACCAACAGAAAGAAATGCCAGCGAAGAGAATAACACGCAAACAGACAGAGAGAGGTAGAAAGCGATAGTCATGCATATTCGATTGATAATGATTCCATTGATTGTATGTATTGAATTGATTTTTTCTCCCTCACTCTACAATTATACAGGGCGTATTATATATATATATCTCTCTCTCTCTCTCTATCTATAACTATATGTGAGTATGTTTGTTTGTAGGCGTGTTTGTATGCGTGCGTGCAAATGTACGATCGTATTCATGAGGGTCGACCAGGTGCAATAAGTGTGCACGTTTGTATGCGTGCGTGTGCACGTTTGTATGCGTGCGTGTGCACGTTATTTAGTTTGTACTCTAATTTTTTGATGTATTTACAGTTTCGTATATAAATATATTTACGTTCCATGTATAAATTAAATTAAATGTTTGAAGCTATAAGCACATATCTTTATTATTTGAATATAATAATAATTTTTTAGATAAAACTGTTTATGTATTGTCTATGTGTGTACAATTTTGTGCTCACATATGTGTGCGACTTATTTGTATGCGTGTTTGTGTGCAGTTGTGTTTGTATATTTTTGTTGTATTAGTTTATGTATAAACGAATTGATTTATCATAAACTCATAAACATACAATACCATATACAAACGCACGATCATAAACAAGGGCAAACAAAAATAAACATTACATTGGCGTGCTCAGATATCATGCTCACACATTCATTCACACATACACACATTCTCTCTCTCTCTCTCTCTCTTTCTTTCTCTTTCCCTCTCTCTCTTTCTCTCTCTCTTTCTCTCTCTTTTTCTTTTTTAGTTCACATACACAATATAATATACAGAACGTGTTATTAGAATTATGGGTATAAGTATAATATATACACACACACACACATATTCTCTTTCATTTTACCTCTCTATTATTTTCCTTCTCTCTCTCTCTTTTTCTCTTTTTTTTCTCTTTTCCATACACATAGAATAGTATAAGGATACAAAAATGTGTTCAATGTCTGAAATACTGAAATACACATACATATATGCTCCTTGTGGCCACTACAATGATGGAGATGATAAAGAAGATGATGAATGCGATGATGATGATGATGATAATGATAACGAAGATGAAGATAATGATGAAAGTGATGGTGATGATGACGATGATGAAGATGATAACGGTGATGAAGATGATGATGGTGATGACGACGACGACGAAATGATGATGAATGTGATGATAATGATGATGAAGATGATGATGAATGTGATGATAATGATGATGACGATGATGGTGAGTGTGATGTTGATGGTGTTGGACAAGGTTGGCTGATTTCAAGCCTGTTCACACATCTGTAACAAAAATAAAACAGACAATGAAATCAAAGAAATTTTTTTTAAATTTAAAAACTAAGCATCTCAACCGTGACATTCACCGTTTCATTTGTATGCACGGTGCGACAAACAATGCAATAAAATACAAAAATGAAAATATAGAAAGTATACAATATAATACAAAAATATATAAAGTACACAATACAAGTTGTACAATACAAATTACACAATACAAATTCTACTATACAAATTATACAACACAAATTCAACAATACAATAATTATACAATACATAATACACAATACAATACAAATTATATAATACCAATTATACAATACAACACAAAGTATACATTACAAAATGTATACAATACAAATTATACAATACAATTTGTGCAGTACAAAGCATACTTCATACATTACAAAACATACAATGCTAAATATGTAGTACAAATTATAAAATTCACATTATACAAAACAAAATAAAATTTTGCAAACCAAAAGCAGAAAAACGGAATAAAATGTTTCAACAAAACTGAATACAAAAACAAAATTTAAAATACAAATTTAAAATACAAATTTTCATAAGTGGCGACTGAAAATTTTTCACTGTTAATTTTTTGTAAAATTTTTGAAAGTATCAAAGAGACAATAATTAAACAAATTAGCATGATAAACAGTGACAGAACTCGTGAAAGGCATATAATTTATTCCTAAAAAGTTTTATGATAATAAAATTCACGCATAACACACAAACAAACACATAAAAAAATCTCACACATGATATATACACAAACACACAAATTTTTATGTGTGTATGTGTGAGTACGTGAGCAAATAATTAAATACAGGTTCGATTGATTTTGGTAACTCCATACTTGCAAATAACTATATAGGTATAAATGTAAATATTCATATAGTAATTAAATTGTTATGGTTATGTGTGTGTATGCGTGTGCGTGTGTGTATGACCTGATGATGTGTTCATGTTTGTTGGTGTTATGTTGGTGGGTTAATTTGTTTGCGTGTAGGTGTACATGCAAGCGTGTATGATAATACAGGTGGAAGAAAAAGTCACTTGGATGTTTGTGTGTGTGTGTGTTTGTGTGTGTGTGTGTGTGTGTGTGTGTGTGTTTGGTCTGTATGTTTTGG